CGGACATTTGTTGTGGTTGGCTTTTATCTATAATTATAGGATTCTTGCCGGGCCGGATTCTTTGGATTGTCGTGCAACATGTGACTTCTTCCTACGGTAGAACAGCCCGAAGAAAAAAAAAACACTAGAATCAAGGATAGCCCTCCATAGTCAGATTCGTTGGTGACCCGTTGGTGGCGTCGTTTGGAACAATAGTTAATTGGAGTTAGGACAAGGTGGGGGAATTAGAGGTTTGCCTAGGAAGAGGTGTCGAATCCTACGGTTTGGGCGTTCGTTGTTGGAATCCTTGCGCTCCACCTGATCAACTTGGATCATTGACTCGGGTTCCCGAGCGTAACTTGGACTGCGGGTTCATGCGCGAGCGCAGCGGTCTGAAGATGCCGGATGTTTTGGCTTGGCATCGGTGTCACCACCCCACACCAAGAAGAAATACGACAAGTCGACTTTTGCAAGGAGCTCCTATACTATAGTGGACCCAGATCAAAAAGATCCATCCTCCAACAGGTCTTTTGTTTTCAAGTCTGTTGGAGGCAGCGTCCAGGTGTGTCGGGCGTTCTCGTTGGACACCAGAACCGCCTCTGAGGAACTTTCGGGTCTTGTATCCGGACGCTTCAGCGCCGCGGCTGGGAGTTGTTGTTTCTTTTCACTTCGCGACGTCGTCGAACAGCTGGAGCAGTCGCGACTGACGTCAGGGCCGCCGTGGATGTGGCTTGGTTCTTGAAACCCCATAGGTGTTGGTTTTCACCAAGGTCCTTTTCTGAAGTGGGATTGCTCGATTTGTTTGGTCTTGGTTTCTGAAGTGTTCCCCCATTGGTTTTGGATTGCTTGATTTGTTTGTATATGTTTAGTGTATATATATATATATTTCACACGCAGGGGACCGCCCAAAAAGGTCTCGATCTGGTTGACACCCTCGAGGTGCGCCATTACCTTCTTCCTTATTTAAGCATGCATAGCGGCAGGGGATTGTTTAGTATTATAGATGCATATAATATAGCGACACTTCCGAAGGATCTCCCAAGCATGTCATGCTGGTCCGTATGTTGTTTCCGTCAGGTGCTCCGGTCCCAGCAGGTGAGGGGTCGTTAGACCATTTCAGAGTGCTACACGAACCGACTCACTAACATAGAAGTGGAACATGGTCCCCTTCAAAGACCACTTTCCTTTACGCACAGGGGTGCTTTTCCACTTCGATCTGTTCGTCGGAGTGCTAGTGGGTTCCTTCTTTGAGACTCAGCCGGCGTGCACGAAGCGACGAAGCGACACGAAGCACGGGACAGCTCTAGAGTGACTTCAGGAGAGCCAGTGCGATTTGCTCGCGCAACTGGTGCAGTTTGATCCCAACAAGCGGCCCAATGCTCAACTGGCACCTTGGCTTAGCCTGCGGGTGGAAGGTAAAATTCTCAAGAGAGGAGCAGCACCACAATGCGATCATTTGGTTGAATGAGGAGGGCACTCCGTGGAAGTATCACGGAAGTGGAACATTGCAACATGGATGAAAAGGCAGGATGGCCCCTTGTTGGACGATCATGTTCCTTGTTGGATGACCCTTGTTGGTTTTCCAGGATGAGGATGGAAAGACAATGACGGTGAGTGCCCATGTTCGATGCTCGAAGCCGCTTCCGGCTGATGCCATGTCTTGAAGGCACCGTGCTTTTTGACAGAGCAACCATAAAAGGAATGGAAGTTGACATCCAGAACTACTTGTGAACTCATACACTGACTTATGAATTCATACCTGTAGAATCCTGTAGAGGAGCAAGTGTGTTTTTTTCCTCTGCGATAGGCACACAGCCTTTGAGGGAGTTTGTGACGTTTCTAGGGCAAGGCAAGATGCAGGATGAGTCAGGATGAGTTTGTTCTTCCAGCACCCAGATGTTTGCCAATTCGGGTTCGGCAGATGTCCAGTTCGGCATCATGTGTTTTCAGGTCCCATGGAACACCATGAGATCACACAGAGCTGCGCTGCTGCCTGCTGCTGCCTGCTTTGCTGCTTGTAAGGCTTTGCGTCATCCTTACCTGGATGACCTTCACGATGAAGATGCCTCTCGTCTCAACAAGCCCCGCTGGGATGGACCGCCACCGTGGTGGCCACGGTGATGGAGGTCACCAGGATGGGCTGCACATGGTGACCACCCAGCGTTCCGCTGAAGACATGAGGCCAACATAGGTCAACAAAAAGTCAGCTGTTACCCTTTGACTCACTAACCAATGGAAGTGGAAAACCATGGAAAACCATCTATTTGTAGAGGAAAATTGATGTCCCAGGCCACTGTCCATTTCCATGTCAGTGAGTCGGAGTGCAACAAGCCAACGGCACCAGATGATTTGAGTTGTTGAGTCATCCTTGGGAATTTAGCCGGCGGGGACTGTTCAAAGGTGCGGATCTGGCCTCCCCCAGCCCAGCGGTTCAAGCCTATCTAACAGAAACTCAACTGGTGCGAAGATGTGCGAAGTATTTTAGAGGGATGGCTCTAAAAGGGGGCTTGTGGCATACGATCAGTTCGCAGTGCCACCCCTCCCCAAGCACTTCGCAGTTCCAGACGACCTCAAAAGCCCCCGCCCAACCCTACTCCAGCAAAGGCTGCATCCCTACGTGGCATTTGGCTGATCCCTCTTCCCAGTGCTGCAACGGTCACCGGTCACGCAGACGGTCACGCCACGCCGTGGACAGGACGAACCAGTGGCCGATGGCCACGTGGACTGGAGCTTCGATGAGGAGACCGAACCCGATGGCCTACAGAGACTTGATGAGCAGAGCGGGCGGACCGAACCCGGTGGTTTGTAAGGCATCGGATACGGCGTCGGCGGCGTTCGGTAGGTAGGTAGGATGTCCAGCATATCAAAGCAGACGGTATCCGATAGATGATGATACATCACGGGTGTCGATACGTCATAAAGTAGAGAGCAGTTTTATATCACGACATACCACGGAATCCGTTTCGATGTTAGGTGGAGATGCCAGGGTAGTGTCAGACATTCAGATTTCATTCATCTTTTGACCATGGATCAGACTTCCGAATCTAGGTTCCTCCAGGGCATGGATGGTGCCAGCTTGGATGACATTTGGAGTGGAAAACTGCATGTTTGTAGCAGAATGCTTATCAAGGGGTAGACTGGAAAGACTTCTTAATTAGTAGTATTCCAGAGTGTTCCTGCGGTGGGCCGGATTAACTGTGGAGGCCGCAAGCTGCTTTCCATTGGTCTTTCTGAAACGTTGCGCCTCTCAGGCTCCAACCCCTCTCACAACTCACAAATCCCAAATGGGTGGTTTTGATGGCCTCTATTCTCTCCACAACAAATGTATGGGACGAAAAATGTGTAGGAAAAACGTGTAGCATGTAAAAACAGGTAAAAACATGCAAATATGTTTATGGTACTGTATACCAATGTTAACATATATATATATATCCTGGCCTTCAAAGGCCATTGCGATGGTTGACCTGGTGGTGTAGTGTAAACATATGAGTATATCGAAATGCATAAAAACATGTTCTTTGGTAAGGATGGTTGTTCAAATCTTAATTAGTATGTATAATAGTATACATCTAATATATGTATATACACCTGGCAAATGTGGTTTCGTTTCAAGGATCGGAACTGCAGAGCCTGAACTTCAAATACGTGCTTTTGAAGGTCCGACTTCAACCGCCACTCGCTCGCCACAAGGCGGAAGTTGTATCGAGAAGCTGCCACCGAGGAGGACGCTCAGCGAAACGAGGATGTTGGATGTGACGAATTGGGCTCCCAAAATGGTGCGGTTTCTTCACAGGAACTGTAACAAGCGAGAACAACTCGTCTAAGAGAGGGGCTCAACATGGTTAAGCAATGCCCGGCTAGTGTGGATGGAAGATACCCTGCACCTTCACTATTTTTTGATTGTATTTCTCACACTTTCTCGTCCAATTGTTGGAGCCGCTGGAGCCACCACTCTTCAGTCAGACTCACAGATGCTCACCGACTTTGGGTGAGATTCTGATTGCCTCTCCACCTGGACCTAAGGTCCTTCTACGGGATCGTGAGGAGCTGCTCGCCAAGGGCTGGCCTTTGACTCTGGAGGATGAATGGTAATTGGCCAAAGTGCCAATCTAGCTGATCTAGCGCCACCTAGCTGCCTGTGGCTCACCCTGCCTCAGCAACAGTAGGCATGACGAGTCAGGAATCCATTGAATTGCCGCATAGATACATTATTCTGCCCCACCAAAGAACACATCGTCCGTCATCGTGACCTGGAGGCCGAGCAATCACGAGCAAGCTGGTCCCACGACCCTGATTAGATAGAAAAGTAAGCACATGTGCCTGTAAGAGGGCTGGATGAATAGTTTTTCAACCCCATGGGATGGTCTTAGGCAGGCACAGGCTGAGTCTTTGGGTGCTTCAATGTGGAAATCAATACCCCACAGAGACATGGTCGGGCTCCAGATGAAGCATGGTGATCACAGTCCTCCGCTTAAATAAAGCAGCGCCCAAAGAGGCCGCACTTAGAACGTTTCCACGCACACACTTCTTTGAAAACGCCGGGCTGGGATTGCTTGGAGTGTAAGGGAAGTGACGGAGTCTCTATCACTATCCTGTGATTCTGGAAATTCCAGTAGTTCCGAAGGGGGTGCCTATTGGAGGATCAGGGGTGCTGCCGCAGGCGCTGATGTCCACTCACTAGATGAGACTAAAAGCCGCCACTTTGTAACTCCTGAGGGGAAAGGTACGAAGAGAGGAACGCAGGTGTCCACGCCTTCAATCTGTGACCCGGCACGTCAAGCGACGCGCAGATCCCTGAGTGACCGTGCCGTCATTCTTGACAAAAGCCAAGGTGTCGCACGAACGTAAAGTATGCTCTAAATGCCATTGGCTGACATGGGATTCGCAGGTTTTGCTAGTTGTTTCAGAAGCGCAGAAGGTTTCGGTTGTGAACACCCAGACCGAGAGTGCCCCCCCAAGACCAGATCAGGTTTATTCGCGGACCACATCAGTTGAAGTTCAGACCGGTCTCCTGGGACCAGGAGATCTGCTCAATGGCTTGCCGGGTCGCAATGGCTACTGCTTGAGGCTTGCCGTCGAGTCATTCTGCCAATTCGAGGCTTGCCGTCAGGTCCGTCGAAGGTTTTGGAATGACAAGACTGTATTCATCAGCACAAGACGGCATTGGGTGGAAGATTGGCCCGCTGCCAGGGTGAACTCTTGAAGCACTTTTGGCGTTTTAATCTGGCATCAAGGCAGTAGTTAGAGACAGACTCCCTGACTCCATCCATCAGACTTCGCTGATGGCTTGGAGCAAACCACCAGGCTGGGCGTTGATGCCATGAAACATGGCACTTGGCGCTTGGAGTCAGGCCGGGTCCGGCGGCGTTATATTTAGGAGGTGTTGGGGGAGGGATCGTAGCATGATGCACAAGAATCCGCCAAATGCGATGGTAGAATCTGCCACGCGATAGCGGCAGCATCAGACCACGCGAGCAAGTTTGCAGTTTGTTGTATACTTCCACCGAATTCTGTGATGTATGAGGGCTGAGGACGTGTTTTTGTCACAAGCAATTGCTAGCAGCGCCTCAGGTGGTGTCCGAGCGAAGTTGTTGGCCCAAGGGCCATTGGTCTCACCCTTTAAGACCTGGCATCGCCTGAGATCCGCGGTAGCAGCTGCGGCGTTTCGCGTTCTTGTAGTAACAAGAAGCTACTAGTAGCAAGGATGCTTTTAGGTGGAGGCCATCTCAAGTAGGTTGGAGGCCATCGCTAGAAGGAGCAAGGACGCTACTAGTAGCTCCTGGCCTTACTACTAGTTCTTCTTCTCCATGTTTTTGGATTCCGCTCCGTGGAATCCTGGAGGCCTTTTTCTTTCAGGTTCTGGTCGCACGGATGAGCATGGATGTTGGAGTCTATAGATTAGATGTGTCTAGGCGAGTGGGAGAGCAATCCAAATTGTTCTAAGTAGCATAGTTCGTCTTTGTGCAGGACATGAAGGGGTAAAAGATGGTGAAAGTAGGAGGTCCCAAACTAGTAACTAGTGCATTCCACTGATATTGCGATGTTTTGCATCCCTTGTTGTTGGTAGACTTTGGCAATTTGGGGTGCTTCTGTTGTCTTTTGTCTACTCTCCAAGGACTGGCGGCGAATGGCACCGTCCTCCGAGCCACTGGGATGATGGGGCAGGATAGGTGCCAGATGGTGGCTCCAGATGTCCGAAGCAGCAAAGCAAACGAGACTTGCACAGCCTTCCAGGGAATGATCAATCCTTGCTTAAACTGAAACTCATATGCTCAAAACTGCGTGTGGGTCGCTCTCGTGCGTGTGGGTCGAGCGCAGGTTGATCTAGGTCCCCGGTTTGGACCAGTAATTCCACATGGTTGGCGCTCAATGGGATTCCGTGGGCGCGGAATATTGTAATCATACATATCAGTAATGATATCATATCAAAACATCCTGTTTGCCTTGAGGACGTTTTGCACTGGTGTTAGCCACAAACTTGCCAAAGGGTAAATTCTCAGCCTGCGGCCATTGAGTACAGCCAAACTTTCTGAGATGAGTTGTTGAGTGTTTGCTTGCATGGCCCGGCCCAGGTGAAAATCGACGATCAGGATGAGGCATCTGGAGCCTCTCCACTTGGCTTCTGAACTTTGCTTGGTGGGTTTCAGTGCCATCGATTCACAGACCATGGATTCATTGGAAGTTGTCCCAACGATACTGTAACTTGAATGTGCCATTCTTTTGTATTCTTTTGCATCGTTTTTGCCTGATGTTCTTTACTACCCAGGCTAAGACCAGGTCGCACGTTGAAAAACCATAGCTCCGACCGGGGCACCAACCCAAGCAGAACACGACGGCGGCACGACGCCGCGGAGCGCTCCGCGGTGGAGCGAACCGCGTGACATGGACGGAGGTCGTGGCGATCCATGAGGAGCACACCATCAGTGCCACGGCGCTGATCTCAGGCCACTCGGTCAGGTTTGGTCGCTGCAGTGGGGGTGTGGAACGGGCTCAAGAGACCAACAAAAAAGAAAAGTAAGGGCCCCAAAGCTCCAAACAGGGTTGGAGTTGCCAGAGGTAGGGAGGGTGATTTGTGATGTCGGTTGGGGGGGTTTTGGATGTTGGGATTCTTCAGGTGCAAGAGTCCGGTGCAGACCGAGTCCGGTTTTGCCGGGGATTTTCCAAGCTAACGGGTGCAGCTGTGATGTCGAGTCAAGTAATGTAGTAATGACTCGACAGTACTGTAGTACTGTAATAATGTAGTACTGTAGCACTGTAGCAATTAACAGGGGGTTGTCCACTTCCATGTTGGTTGCAGGGAGAGTAGTGATTTGCAGTGTTAAAAAAAACACCACGTTAGTTACCGTTAGTTTTAGTTATACTAGTAAAGTATAAAATAAAACGATTTAAGAATGATTTTTTGTACATTCCCCAACACGAAAGTGCAAGAATCATGAACCCCAAACAGGCTGACTGTCAGACATGCGGGTCACCTAAACTTATAGAACTCTTCGGGTTCAGTTCGCCAAGACGACTTAACTTGAAACCCAAAGATGTCGGAACGATTAAAAAGACACATCAAGAAGCTATAACAACACCGTGGACATGAGAATCATGTGGTATCCGTCCGCCATGGGGGGTGCCTTAGTGAAATATTCCAGGTAGGGATGTCAGGTACTGGATTTTTTTTTGCCTTGGGTATATGATACCCCGCCCTGGCAACACATACCTGGATTATTTTGTGTTTGTTGCTGATGTGTCAGATCAATTGCAGAGACCGAGAACTTTTTGTCCAGGGTTTCCACATACCTGGAATAAGTAAAAAAATCCCAGAGACATCGAGCTGGAGATATACCTGGAATACGTTTGATGAAACGTGCTTTTGATGAAACGTCGACTGGACTTACCAGAAACAAAGCAAAGCCAAAAATAATCCCCAAAGAAAAGAATTAGAAACAGAGAAGACAAGAACTGTGGTGGGAAGAGGCGGATACGATCGCAAGAGGCGGATTCGACTTTGTTTATCCTCCTTTATATTGCCTGAATTAAATCCTGGAGGTCTACTGCGTTGTTTAAATTGCGAAACTGAAAAGGTTTGATTTGCGCGGCCTCTATCATATATCATGAACTCAAACTTCCCTGGAGATTAAATCCAACCATATATTTATTCCAGAACTGCCTCAGGCCTTGGAAGGTTGAACTACTGCGGTTAATTACACCCTGCCAGAATATTCAAAACATATTCCTGGGGGTATCAACGGTGGGGGTATCCCAAAGGACCATCCATCGTCCGCCCCTAAGTTCGAACGTGGTCTCTTTTTGGGCCTGCGGTCTCCGGTGCAGGTTGGCACGAGGCCTTCTACGATAACGTGGTCACTGAGCTGGACTCACACGGAGAGAGCTGCGGCAACCGAGGTGGTGTGTGGGTTGGTGAAAACACCCAGGCCGTCGTGAGGAGGGCAAAGCCATGAACAGGCCAGGGATGTTCGGATGCGCTCTGAAGAATGACAACTGCCAGGGTCACTCCTATTCGTCAATTCATGTATATTATATATATATGTGTGTTTTTTGTTTTTTTGCGGACTTGGGCTGACAGTTGTGTAATGTTGTGTATATTATGTATAAACATGTTTCCGACCTTGCCAACGGAGAACCCTTTTTGACCATTCTTGAACATTCTTGGGGGCAATGGGGTGCGCCTCCGCTCGAATCCAACAGAGTGAGCGGTCCAGCGAAGCTCCACGGGCGAACCAAGAATTAGACGGGTGGGGAGGGTCGATCGAATCGACGACAGCAGAAAAGACTTAGTTTTTTTTGCCGCGAAGGGGTTCCATGTCCTAGAGTCCTAGAGGAACCTTGAGGTTGAAGATTTGGCCACCCATCACGCACTTCCAAATGAATCCATGCTGGAGCTTGTCTAAGAACCTTGGCAATATATTTTGGTGGTTGCTTTGGCTCCTCTCAAAGCTTGTGAGTCGCACTACGTTGTGCTCTACCTGAAGGGGTGGGTATATAAGTGTCTCAAGAGACACACTGCGAGCTTTATGGTGGGAAACCACCCAAATGGTGGAAGGTCAACGACCTACACATGCCTAGAACCTGCATTTTGGACCTCACATCACTGAAACAGATGGTCCTTTCCTATCACAACGGAGGTCATGTTTGGGTTCGAATTCGGTGGTGACCTCCGCATCGGTCGTCCGCATCGGTCTTCCTAGGCCATGGAGCCGCCCTCGTCCTTGGAGCCAGTGTACTACTAAGCGCCGAAAAGAAGCGGTAGCAGGGGCCACTGGCGTTTTAGGAAGATCTACTGTAGTTCCTCCAAATCAACATGGGTTTTAACTTTCAACGTCTCCAAAGTTACGCATCTTAGACAGTTTATATAAGAACATATAAGAACCTTCCAAACCATTTGTTTAAATTTTCCCTCTATTCGGAGGTCACCAGCTGCTGAATGCCTTCAGGAACTGATTTGCTGCACACATGGGATGAAGACTTGCACATTTTGGAAAAATATATATATATACAGTTGGGAATTGCAAAGTGTTGTGTTTGCAGCTGCTTTCTTCAACCCCTATATGGGTGTGCAATGCGGGTACTTTACACTAATTCTATATTATGTAACTACTTGTGCACATTATTTCTATGTATGTGCATATCTGTTTATCTGTGAAATTTATCTATTGATGTACATTTGCCGTCTCAGCGTTGGTTGCTCAAACGTCTCGCTTTCTTCGCTTCATCATGGGCTGCAATCTTTGCAAGAAACACCAGCTAGAGGCACGCCTGTGCCGTAAGCTGGCACCTGTGCTGGCCATCGTTTGTTTTGGCCCCATGCGCAGCAAAATGACATGACGTGATCGCATTGGTGCATTCTTCAAACAAGAATGAGATTGCAAAAGCATCATGGAAACATGCAAGAAGACAACATGGAAAACGGAAAACCAATGGACAACATGACTTATCCCACCAGCGTGTTCAAGCCCGATTGCTGTTTCGGTGCACCAGATGCGCCAGGTGCCGCAGATGGCAGAGTCACGTGCGAAGCCGGTGCTGCGGGGCGAGGAGACCTCCGAGGAGACGCAGGAGGGCGAGACGAAGATCTCGTCCATTGAGGCGAGAGAGAGAGAGAGAGTAGAGACGCAGGCAATGCAGGGGGTTCCTGGAAGAAGTGAGTTGGAATTGGTGTTGGGAAAAGAGTGGAGGTGAGCCAAATATGATTGCCATCACGGGCTTGCTATCACATTTGAATACATGTTTGTTGTAGCAAGCGACCCTGATGGTTGTCGACTCTGTCGACCCTGACGCCGGTGTTCGTCTCAATTACGGAACCTGCGCAAAGAGATGAGGATAACATAAGGCACCATGCTCGCCGAGGCTACCCCTTCTTGGGACGGCCTGTGATGGGTGATCAATTGGTGTGGAAGATCCTGCAGGGATGTTGGCACAATTGGCGCGATCCAGCGCATTTCCCCAAGATGTGGGGGTCATCTCCCCAACAAGGAGGTTTGGGGACAAGTAGGACCAAGAATCCCCACAAAACATGTTGTATGCCATGGCCACGAATTTCCAATAGCCACGAGAGATAACAACCATGAACACCCAGTGTTTGGGCTTACAACGCCCTTCAGGGCACATCCCGACGCTGCCAACCGCAACGATCAGGCTGATTCTGTGGATGTCGTGGTGCAGGATCTTCAACATGACGTGGATGAGAAAGAGCCCAGCTTCTTGAGTTGTTGCATCTCTTTGTAGCGCCACCAGCTTCCTGGACTTTGGAACTGGAAGAGAAAGGTTTTGCCCACCCCCCAGCAAACGTGCGACGAAGACAATTTCACTCTAGCTTCAGCGAGGCTGGTATAAAGTGATAGGCCCTAGGCCACTTTGGATGTGGGTTGTATGAATGAATTGTGATTTCTCAGATTTGTACAATTTACACCCTATAGCTGCAGCTAGAGAAAGACGATAGAACATATCAAGCAGAGGATCAATGTACCATTGTCCAAAACAAGGTCGCATGTGTATGTTGCGCATGATTTCGATTGCACACTTCGCGCTATGTAGGGAGTTGTCACTGATGATAAAGGGAAGGGGAGGGCGTCATAATTGGCTGATGCTCCACCTGACATTTGGTGGCGCGCTTTGGGATTGCATCCCATTTATGAACGGCCGTCATGCAGTGGTTTCAAGATAAGCTCACCATGCCCCAATATATATATATATAGAGAATCTCCCAGCATAAAAAATAAGTCTAAGTATATACCCTAGGCGTCAAGCGCCGAGTTAAACTTGGGCCTGGATGAGGACCATGTTTCACTAAGATAAACATGGTCTTTGTTGAGAACTATGTTTTACTTTAGGGCATATACAACCTCTTCCAAACTAGCCACTTTTCCTGTCCAAACTATGTGCATTCCCCTTCCAATCCATCCACTTTCCAGCACCTCAGGCCTTGCGACCCCGCTGCTTCAGGCGTTTTTCTGATGCGAGGGCCGTGCAGGCTCAGATCGCGATGGATCGCGAGTCATGTTCATGCAGACAAACATGAGTCCTAGGCCGCAGGAGGTCTACATGCTGCATGCATGCACAAATGTTTTCTGGATCATTTCACCTGTCCGCTTCGGCCCCCATGCCATGCAGAAAGCCCTCAGAAAAAGCCTGGAACTTGGCCCGTATCTTTTTTATTTCTCCCACTCACCTGTGCGGCCTAGGAAAACGGGCTACGGATCCTAGCCAACCAGGTGCCTCCCTTCCAAGCTGCATGAACCAGTAAAGCCGATTAAAACCGTGATTGCCAATCCAGCTTGAAAGAAGTCCTTGCATTGCACAATTTCTGCAATGACCGGCCAAAAATTGTAGTGGCTCAATCAAGGTGATTCCAGTGTGAAAATTCATTCTGATTTTAGACTTCATGATTTTCATGTTTGACAGTGTGCGAGGGCCAGTGTAGTGCAGCTCACTCTCATTGGCCATGCCGGTGTCCAAGCCTGACAAGCGCAGGGTGGCCCTTTTGAAGGCCAGAACATTTGGGCCAACATCCATCCTGGTTTTGAACATGTCCAAAAAATCAAAACCCATCGAAACGATCGACCGATAGTGCAAAACAACATGAACATGTCCAGGAGTTCTACCGCGAGATGTTTTCGGGCGACTTCCGGGAGGAACGTTTTGTGGAGCTGGGCCGGAGAGCAGGGATCCCGCAGTACAAAATTGAGAAGACCTTGATGGACGGCAAGGTGCAAAATGTGTTTTGTTTCCTTGCAAAGACCGACCCAGTCTACTACTTTAAATACTGGTGCCAAAATCTTGTGGCCCGACCTCCAGGTGCCTCCAGTTACCTTCACCTTTTTGGAAGTGGATCCCAAAAAAGGATTGAGCGAGGACAAGGTATCTCCGGCCGAGTTTTTCAACTCGCACCCATTTTCTTGGTTTGTCACGCGCTACTCATGCCAGATTGAGATGGACATCAACACCAAATTTGCCATGATGTGGCTACCATCGTTTGCCCTATCGTCGCCTACCGAGAAGGAGGTTAAGGAGAGGCGTCGGAGTGCTGACGGCATGTATTCTTATTCGAACCTTTGTTCTTCGCTAGGAGGCCTTGGCTGATATTTGCCAAGAATTCTGCTTGGTGGATCCCGCAAGAGATGATCCGGTGGTTCCTTTGTTGCATAACTGAGTTGTGCACTGCATGAAGAACTTGAACAACACTAGTACTATGGAAATCAACCCGAATCAACGAGAACCCTTGGACCTAGGACTGGGCTGAAACAGAAGGGGGCCTACACAGATTGCTCGCAAGCAAGATCCTTCATCGTCATGGTCGGACCAAGAACAGCAGGTACAGGATCTCCCAAGATTCACCCATGCACATGCACATGCAACAATTGCAACCTGCAAGGCGCAAAGAAGGAAACATGAAGAAACTGAAAGATCTTGTCTCCGCCATCTATGAGGAGCTTTTGGCTTTCAACCCGGTCTAGTACTCCAAGTGTTGGGGGTCTGTGTCCATGCAGGATGCTGGAATTGAAAAGCGTACCAAGTCCATTCGAAGGTGGAAACAGGCACTATTGTGGGTCCAGTGTTCCCCATTCGTGCTTCCAAGAATTCACATGTGTGTCAGGCCAACCAACAAGAGGATCATCCACAAGGGAAACAATCTGACGACAAGGACTGGCCCCAAATTTCATGGAAGAACTAGAAAGTTCGTTCCTCTGTGTCAGGCCAACAAAGATGAGAAGGATCCAGAAAGGAAAGCATCCGAAACACCGGACGACAAGGACTGACCCCATGTCTTTGGAATAAGTTTGTATATCAACTTCCCTTTTCCCATTCGTGGTTCGAAAATACTAAAACTTGTGTCAGGCTGAAGACGTTGAGAAGGGTGACAGCAAGAAGAACAATTCCGATGACAAGGACAGACCCAAAATTTAATGGATTAGAAGGTTCTACCATTAGCCTGTGCCAGGACCTGGCTGAAGAAGACGAATCTGAGTACGAAGAGATCCTGATCGAAGAAGAGGAGGAGGAAGAAGCGTTCTCAAATGATGAGGAGGTAGAGGTACGAGAGAAGGCCGACAAGATTGCAGCAGAAGAGAAGAAGAAGCAAGAAGAAGATGCAAAGAAGGCAGCAAAGGAGAAACAGAAGGAGGAACCCGAGAATGCCGACAAGATTGCAGCAGAAGAGAAGAAGAAGCAAGAAGAAGAGGCAAAGAAGGCAGCTGATGAGAAACAGAAGGAGGAATCAGAGAAGGCCGACAAGATTGCAGCAGAAGAGAAGAAGAAGCAAGAAGAAGAGGCAAAGAAGGCAGCTGAGGAGAAACAGAAGGAGGAATCAGAGAAGGCCGACAAGATTGCAGCAGAAGAGAAGAAGAAGCAAGAAGAAGAGGCAAAGAAGGCAGCTGACGAGAAACAGAAGGAGGAATCAGAGAAGGCTGAGAAGATTGCAGCAGAAGAGAAGAAGAAGCAAGAGGAAGAGGCAAAGAAGGCAGCTGAGGAGAAACAGAAGGAGGAATCAGAGAAGGCCGACAAGATTGCAGCAGA